CCCCCATTGAAAAGTACCCCCCCCCCCCCCACTGCCAACACCACCAGCAGCGTTTGTGGGTAGTCCCCAATTGCTGCTGGCCACCACCAGCAGCACTTGCCACCCCAACCCCCACTGCTGACACTGCCGTGGCCACCTGTGGGAGCTCCCTGCTCACCGTCACAACATCCCCACTGCTGACGCTGCCACCGCCACCTGCAGGCAGTCACCATACCCCACCCCCAGCTTCCGGGGGGCATGCGTCATTCATATATATAGTTCTGCTGAAGTCAATGGATCTAGTAAATTACATCAGGAAGGGATCTGGCCTCCATCTACAATTGGTGCCAATGTTTGCATGGGTAGGTGCTAACCTTGATGGAGTTTGACATTAGTTGCACTAGAGCAATAAATAAATACATGAAGCTTACTTCAGTGAACCTTCTTTAAATGTGGGCTTGCACTATTGCAACCATTTAATTTGCTAGCACCAGTGGCTGAATACAGGGCAATACCTAAATACAGAGAAAGTTTCTGTAAGAAGAATTAGATTCAGATGAAACTATGGAATTCAGATAACATACTAAAAACATCATAGTCCTTTGCCTATTATCTAACTGATTATCAAAGGCTTCAGAAAGAACAGTACAGTCCTTCTTTCATGTACTGCAAATGTTTACTCAGCAAGTCATAGGCCATGGTATTTGCCTTAAGCCTTTACCTCTAATTAAAAAATAGTCTCCAGGAGGAGCAATACTGTCTCATTTTACAACAGAGTTTTCCCCACAAAAAATCTGCTGTAAGAAAACATATTTGTCATTGATTTATGGTTTAAATGAGGTTCAACTATGTAATCTACCTAGGCCACTGAAATATTTCGCACTGACTTTAATAAGCTATGATCAGGGCAAAATATCCTTATTCTTCCCAGATGTGTTAATTCTTCACAACCAAAAAGAAAGGGAGACGAACTGAAAAAAATTGTCAAGGGGGATGTCAGATTTATGGACAGCATTGTGGGAAATTCAAATGAGGATTCAAATTTTCAAAAGTCATATTTGAGTCTGTGGAGTTTTGTCTTATTTTATAAAAAGGGGGAAATTGTTAAAAACCTTATACCTCACCCTCCAAAAGAGACACCACAAAAATACAGCTTCAAAACATTAAACTATTAGATTTTTTGTAAGTAGGCCCTTAGTAAGCATTTCACAAAGATCTTCCATAACCATTTAATTTTTTAAATTATTTAATGCCCAAGAACTATGGTGCAATTCCACACTGAAATAGGGGCATTTCATCTGGAACTTCCCTTATAACTTGCACCACTCCTCACTAATATTTTCACGTGTGTAGTGGTTTCATCCCAGTTTTAGACACCTGAATACTCTGAATACAAATACTGCTGAACCTATGTAATCAACAGTTTTAGAAACAATAATAATACTTCAAAAGGAAGTGGGTTGTAAAGTTGCTGCAACAAGTCAATATTGAGACTATCTGTTTCCAAAACATGTATTTTCTTTATTTAGGAGAATGAGTCCAAATATTTGTTGGCTTTGTAAGTTATTCAGAGATGATGAAAATGGAATCACTTCTAAGTAAGTAGCTCTTTGATTTTATGTACAATTTAACAAAATAAAGGAATTTACCTTTCTAACCAAGACTCACAACAGCTACATTCATAATGAAAATTTGCCAGTTAATGCTTACTTAAAAAAAAACAACCCCCCCAACCCTCACCGTCACCAATGCTGCTCAGTGATCACCTGTTGTGCGTACTGTTGCTTCACAATTGATCAGTGTTAAATGTTTTAGCACGTTGCTTATATTGCACATTTGTACCCTTATCAGAATTTTTTTTAATTATTTATTCAGGAGCAGACTACTAGACCTAAGTTCTCCGAATTAGTTTTAGCCTACTAAAGTTAATCAAGCTACATCTAGCATGAATTTGACATACAGTGTTTTGATTCATAGGTTTTAAACTCAGCCACTGACACATGCAGAAAATACATTAAAACAGAGTCCCGATTGTACAAGAAGCTTCCAATGAAGCACCAATTTATTTCTAAAGAGTCCTCCAATACCACTGACTTCAACAGAATTTGAGAAGTTCAACCCTTCAGATCTGTCACTGCACACCAGGACTGGCCTAAAACTAACTGCATCAAAACTGTTTTCGACAGAAAATTGGGTTTTCAAATAAACATTTTTGTAAAACGGTATTTTCTGCAGAAAATATTGCCTTTTTGTTGAAAAGCTACACACTGACTTCAGTTTCTGAGTAAAGACAACAGAGTTTTTAGAAGTACCTTATAGGAGTTATATCTTGGGTGTCTCCCGCTCCAATTTACTCAGTTTCTCCACACTATTTTTGATAATGTTCTGCAGCTAACAACTTCTATGCTCCAGCAGAATGGCTTAGTAAGAGGGAAGACCAAGATACTTCATGTAGACTGGATCAAAGTATCCAGGCCGGAAGAGAAAGGAGAATGGGAACCAGAAGCAGATATAGGATTTTGCAAAAGGGGTTATGGCAGCAGCAGCCAGCACTGAAGGGGTAGAGCACCTCCCGTCACTAGACTCTTCCCACTATACACTGAGGCATATAGACCATACCCTTGGAGCAGCAGGTGGGGCTGTAAGTCCCAAAGAAGGTAAGAATTCCTCTCGCCCTTTCCCTTCTATGCTTGGAGGCATACCCCTTTCCAATCCCCTACTCTCCCATTCCCAGCACCCACCCCCTACCTGCCACTGCCACTATCCCTGATTCTCCAGAGGCAAGAGGAACTCTGTGGGTGCTGACAGACGCACAGGCCCCTGCTCTAATTCTTGCCATTTTACATAAGAATTAAAGCACCCCCCATACCCAACAGATGTTCACCTGTTGGGTCGGGGCGTGGAAGGGAGGCAATCAATCTCCACTTTGGAGCCAATCGAGTGGACAAGCCTGCCAGCAGCCTCTCCTCACTAGCCCTGCCTCCCTTTTCCAGCTCCCATGCTGTCTGTAGGAAGGGAAGGGGAATGAGCGGCAGGCTGGAGTCTGCCTGGCCTGAGTTAGAGAAGGGTGCTGGGGGGTTGGGTGCAGGACAGGGAGGCTCCAGTCCATCTGCCCTGCCCACGGCAGATCAGGGCAGACAAACCTCAGCCTGCAGCTCACTCCCCCTCCCTTCTCCCCCCTCTTTTTCAGCAGACAGCACTGGGGTTGGGACCTGGCTGAATCAGCCCAGCCCTGATCATGCAATGGATTGACTCTAGGGAACAGAAGTTCCTTAAGGTACTCCAATGTAGGGTGCTTTCATTTGCTGCATGATTGGCCACATTTAAAATGCTCTGCAGTCATGCATGTGTCACAGCACAGCTGTAGAGTGGTTTTGGGGGCCCAAATGTGTGACAACTGTAACTTCTGTCTGCACCTGCCCCAGCCTAGCTGCACAGGGGCTGGGCTGACCTCAGCTAAGCCCAGGACAGTGGCAGGAGCAGGCAGGCAAGTTCCCCTTTCCTACCTGGTCCTCCAGTGCTCCCTGACCACCCAGGAGCAGGCATGGGGAAGAGGAGCCTGCTTATCTGCTACCTTCAGTACTGACCTGGTCTGAGTCCAGCCCACAATATACCCCAGGTGGAGCAGAATAGGAGCTCCCCTCACCCTCAGCACAGTGGGGATAATGACAGTGGCAGGCAGGGAGGGGGAAGGAATGAAAGGGGAGGTGGTATGCCTCTGAGCATGGAGCAGAAATGATGGGGAAGGGATTAACTTCTTTAGGGACTTGAAGTCCCCAGCAGCTGCTCCTGCTGTGTGGTCAGAAAGAGGGGGGCAGGGGCGGGGACAGGGGTGGGAGGTTCAGCCATGGCTCTGTACTTCCTTTGCATCCACCCCTGAAGGGAGCATAAGGCAACAGAACTACCACTCTCAAAAGCCATTCCAGTGGTGCAGAAATGATCTAAATACAAGAGATGAAGTAACTGGGTAGGAGGAGAAATAAGTCAAGTGATTTGCTAACAGTCACATATCTGGCGAGTGACATAAATGAATACAGAAATCTGGTCTCCCATTCTTCTTCCCCCAGCATTATAAAGATTCTCAAAGCAACATATCCTACTGCAAGCTGCACATATTGATCTTTCCCTACAGTAATTCCATATTTTTCCTCCATTTACAAGGCAAAAAAGATTTTCCCATGTGCCAGCTCCCCTAACACAAGTTAAGCCATGTCCTTTCTGCTTCATAGATCAATGCTAAAAGCAAATATTCAGAAATGGAAATAAGGTATCAGTTTTGTAGAAGCACAGACACAGACAAAAAAAATGAATTGCTGTGATAATGCTAACAGTGGCAAAAATGGGTGTCAGTAACAGTAAATATGACGCAGAAACAACTCTATTAAAAGAAGATATTCGTAGGATCAAGATTTTTTTCCCCCGTAACCATGACCTTTGTGAGTTCACACAAAGGGAAGCTGGTTATTCATGACGGAAGAGGGAAAAATACTACTTGACAAGAACAAGCAGTTATTAGCAGGAATTACTGAACACACACAGATGTTAGTACATTAAGCTCCCTTGTGGCATTGCCAAGTTGCTCGCTTTCCGATAAGGGTTATCTCCTACCACATACTAACTTCAATAGGTCACTACATTGTAATGTTTTGCAACTATTGCAAGTGATGTGTGACATCACTTTTACCATAGCCTCACAATATACTGAGAACATTGATTTCTTCAATACTATAAACACAATATCAAAGATATAAAAAATAAATGGACTGATAAAGCGCAGAATACATGTGTTGTTTTATTTAGCTATGCAAAAATGATTATGCAAATTAAGCATGTTCCTATATTTTAGATAATGATACTAAATCTAACATCATCTACAGTTAACTGCACCAGTCATCATACAATAACCTTTCCCACTTTTTCAAAGATTGTCACTGGAGGAAGTACTACAGTGGTCCCAATCTTTTGAAAAGCTGATAGCTAATAAATGTAAGTAATTTTATGTTTGGACTCTGGCAGTGTTACTGATCAATACATTCAGTGTTTTTTATCTAGAAAAGTATCAAGTAAGCTACAATGTGAATTTACAGTGCAAAATTACCATGCCACGGTTTGCAAGCTCTAAGTATTTTCATGTGGCACAGCTTCTTCCACTTTCAAAGGGAGCTGTGTTGCACAAAGCTACTGTCAGTGCTCACTAAGGGCATTAGCAGACATGATTTTAGTCACTATTTACCTGCTGTTTTAGCAGGACAAAAGGCCTGTAGCTGTATGTTCAGGCTTTTTGACCCACCAAACAAATGAAATAGCTGATCCAACCCAAAAATGGTGGATCTGTGACAAAAAGTTGCTGACAAAAAAATCAGCTGCTTTGTCACAGGAAGGTTTTCCATAACAAATTTAATACGTGAACCCCACAGTGCTTCACATTCCCTGTTCTCCCTCCTCTGCCATCCCCTCCCCACCCCCTCACTCCAAAAAGGGCTCCCAGGCAGCTCTCTAACAAGGGTCTTGGAAAAGGGTGATAGCTAAGAAGTAGCCCCATATTGTCATGCTCCAACTAGGGGGAGATCCCCATATGGCCACCAATAGCTTATGACTATAAAAACAATGTTTGCCAAAGGCCAAAGAGTGTCCACATAGGAAGCTACTTTATCCATTGCACTACACATTCACAGCCTAGTTTACTGGATGCTAACTGTCCTGTTTGGACAAGCTCTCATCCTTTAAGATTGTGCGACACACTACCATCCCTGCTTTTCAGGTACTTTATGGAAACTGCCATATTGTAAAGGAAAGCAAATGTGAGGTTGTTTTGGAAAATCAAATAAATGGATAATCCACTACTACTACTATCCACCCATGTTCATTTTAATTAATTACAAAAAATATTTAGCATGTGTAGGTAGGAAAAATAATCATTTTTTTATGGTACTTGCATTTAAAGGATGGTATAACAACAGTCCTCTATTAAACAGGAAATCAAAAGGTAAAAGTGACCTTTGAAAATTCACCACTATTTTTTCTTTGATGACCCTTGTTTCATAGTTTCATAGTTTCTAGGGTTGGAAGGGACCGGAGTAAATCATCTAGTCCGACCCCCTGCCATGGTAGGAAAGAGTACTGGGGTCAAACAACCCCAGCAAGGTGTTCATCTAACCTCCTCTTAAAAACCCCTAGGGTAGGGGCCAGCACCACTTCTCTTGGAAGTTGGTTCCAGACCCTAGCCGCCCTGACCGTGAAGTAGCGCCTCCTGATATCTAGCCTAAACCTACCCTCTGCCAGCTTGTGACCATT